CAATTTGAAAATATTACATTTCACCATTTCACTTCCTACATTTATGTCATTTATGTCCAGTGGTTTTTTTTGTTTTTTTTTTTAAGGGAGTTTAACTGCAATCACATGGAATTAGAAAGGAGTTAGGAGGCAAAAAAGTAGTCTGCATATACCAGCAGCAATACTAAATCAGTCTGCTAAGGCCCAGTCAAGAGCACTGACAACGCTTTTTGTAGTAAGTCAGGGATCCTTGTGGGTGTGAATTCAGAGAAAGTTTCAGGGAAAGTATTGCATAAATATTGCTGGACACTGAGATATTTTACCCGTTCAACTAGCATATAATAGCTGGGCCAGGCAAATAGTAAAACTGCACATTAATTTGATTATACCACAAGTGGCTATGTGGTCATATGGGTCTTAATTAAATAATGCCTTATTTAATTAATCTATATCAATACACTTTGAAGACTTACTTTAATAGCAAGACCCTATGTGTCGCAACTGACATGACAGTCATGAAACAGGAACTGAACTCAGGAACCACCATTAGAACTGGAACACAATCAACTCTATTGGGCAGAAATCTGGTGGAACGATACACTGATGAGAGATCTCTATATTCAGATGTGAAAATACTACTTCAGCTGTTATTGTACATATTGTAGTCGTATTCTGAAGTCGCCATGGAAAAGCTTGACTATGTAACGTACCTAGGCCCGAATATAGTAATCTGCTCTGTACTTCCTGAAGGATTTTAAATGTCATTGTGTCCATTCTAGGGCTGTTCATCATGTCTGCTTGACCAGAAATACTTTTTGGTGGTCATTTTGCAGAGACACGAGGATGTACATGTGGAAAAATTAAAGAAGACCTTGAAGAATGACAGAAATATTTCATAGGGTTCAGCTAATTAGAATAAAATATGTTGATATGAACAAAATCTTTTTATTTTTCCTACCTGAAATAGATCTTACACTTTTCAGGAATTTTTAATTAAAAAAAAAAAAAGGAAAATTTGATGTGAAGGACTAAATTTTCAGCGGATTGTTAAGATATTCAGAAGTAGTAACACTTTCTGTTCTTAAGATATTCAGAAGAATTCTGTACTGGAACAACTTCTACTAAGTCCATACAAGTGCGCATTCAATTAGCCTCAGGCACAGTAACATCAGCCTAATAGTCTTAGGGAACTGTTCAGATAGCGGAGTTATCTCTGATCAAATCTCATCTCTGAAAGCAGCAAGTGGATGAATGCAAGTCCCCTATGATATAATAAATAAGTACTTCTTCTGTTTTATGAAGGGCATTGCGTACATTTTTAAGTGTGTCCAGAAACACTTTTGCTTTATTTTTACTTTTTTGGGTGGAAAAAAATGGTACATCTCTTACAAATATCATCCATTTAGGCTGAGACAAGTTATATTTTGGGCAAAGACACATTTTTTAAATACAAAATCACTCAGCACTATAAATGAATACATTTTTAGGGGTTGTATTCAGAATTGATCTAAAACTACTAATCAGTTTCAGTTTCTCAGTAACCTGCATTTCTTCTAGCTATAACACTGTTTTAAGCATCTTCTGAGTTGCTGGACCTCATAGGCAACCTAACTGCTTCGCATCATAGGGAGATGCTTCTGAGTGTGCCACTTATGAAGTACCTAAGTAAGTGAACTGTCTTGGACAAACTTTCTGAAAACTGTTTCATAAAATACTTGTAATGCTTGTGATTTGTAATCTGCTCCAAATCTATAAGACATTACTTTAGATATAGCAAATGTCTTTTAGCAATTGTGATGGTTACACACATAAAAAATCTTTTATTCTCGTTGGCACCATTCTGAGGACCCTACCCCTTCCTTTTTGTGTGCAGCTAGGCATTAGAGAGAGTTTGCAGAAACTTAAGCGTTACTTTTCCCAACTCATGACCTGCTCCAGCTTGTATATTTTACTAGTGCCACTTAGTTTTGAAACTAAGCAGTCAGTGATTACATGCAGCTGCATATTGGCATGAATTACACTTTCGGTGTCTGAAGTGGGCATTGTCAGAGCTTTGCTCATCATCCTACTGACTTTTTTGTCACACTGTGTGAGTTAGCTCTTTCAAGTGCTGTATGAAATCTGCTGAATGATATCCATAGTAAAATATTTTTACTGTTCTTAAAAGTGAATATTTTACTGAGGGAAGATCAAATTATGCAGGAAAATATCTTTGTATTTTATACAGAGGTGTTTGAGAGCTGAGTTCCAAATTAATATTTATATAGATATGACAGTAACTATATGAAACTCAAAATCTTAATTCTTTTTTTTTTTTTCCAAGCATAGCTTTGCTACAAGCAACAGTGTAGATTTAGGTGAACTCACACTGTGACAAACTGAGAATGGAGAAAACACATTTCTTGTCCATAAAAGGACAGATCACACATCCACAGAGAGTAGCTCTGATTTTGCAGCAGTTCCAAACTATGAAGTGGTAGCTCGCTGTTGCTAAAAGGAGCTCTGCTTAGAACTGATAAAGAATTCTCCAGTAAAACTCTTTTTTCCTTTTCTTTTTTGTTCTGTTTGTTTTGTTTTCCATCTTAATTGGAAAAAAATGGTGATTTCTTGAATTTTTCTGTTTAAGAGGTCTGCTTTCTCAGCAATTTCTTCTACATGCATACAATGTCACTGTCAGGTCAAGGCATCCATTGCCTTAAGTCAGCATTGGTGAGACACATCTGGCCTGCTGTGTCCAGTTCTGGGCTCCCCATTAAAAGAGAGACATGAAGCTAATGGAGTGAATCCAGCAAAGGACCACAAAGCTGATTAAGAGCTCTCCCATATGGAGAGCTGAGACTGTTGAGTTTTGAGAAGAAAAGGATCGAGGGCAATCTTAGCAATGTGTATAAATATTTGTTTGGGCAAGTAAAGAAGAGAGAGACAGACTCTCCTCAGGAGTATCTTGTGACAGGACAATGAGCAATGAGCATAAACTGAAATACATGAAACATCACTGAAACATAATACCACTATGAGCATGCCTGAACACTGAAAGTTTGCCTGGCAAGGTTGTGGAGTCGCCGTTCTAGGAGTTATTTCATATCTGACTGGATGTTGCCCGGGGCAACCTGCTTTAATTGACCCTACTTTTAGTAGGGGAGATGGACTAGACAATCTCCAGCTCTTTTGTTATTATGTAAACTTGTGACTTCTAAGGAATTCATCCCCAGTTCAGGAAAACCAAGATCAAGGTTCTTTTGAGTCAATTGAAGAAATATTCAGCCACAGTTTCCTACATTACGTGAGTGCTGTAACTGCATGAGTTCAATGTTTGCCTCTTTAGCCTTCTACTTCTGCAAAAATTTAATTACAGTTGTTCTGCTTCCAAATAAATAATTTCTCTACGTGATTTAGTATTTTACAATGAGAACTAGTTCCATTTATTTATGAGCACACATGCAAAATACACAAATAAACACCGGGAAAACACAAATCCTTAAGCAAGTGTACGGTTCTCAACTACACAAGCAGGATGACAGACAAATTGATCCAAAAATGACAAATAAGCTCCTCGAATATGTCCAGAAGCTTGAATTATGAGAACAGTTTGAGAATCCATTTAGCATAGCAGGACAAAGAACAGTCTAGATAAGAAATCAACTTTTAGGTCCACATTTTTGGTCTTGAACAATAATCTTCAGTCTCAGAAGGGGTGAATTATCCATTTGTCCTTGAATGTTGTAAATATAGTCAATTCTGCTTCACTTCATGTATAAAGCAGTGAAGAAACTTCATTAAAAAACAAACAAACAAACGAACCTATCACGAACATCAACAAGAGGGCCTGATCCTTCAAACAAGAAGTATAAAATGCTCTGTGGATATATCCGAACTGCACTTTTACTTTACAGAGGCTTAATAATTGTTTTCCAAAATTCAAAATATTAAAAAAAGCTACTTTGCTCCTTGACTATATCTTTTTTCTCCAAAATTTCTTTCCCTCATCGAACTAGATATAGCTACTGAAACACGATACTATTTCTCAATATTATTACCTGAGAGAAGAATGTAAAGAGGATGAGGCCAAACTCTTCTCAGTGGTGGCCAGTGACAGGGCAAGGGATAATGGGTATAAATTAAGCATACGAAGTTTAATCTGCATATGAGAAAGAACTTCTTTATTGTGAGAGTGACAGAGCCCTGGAACAGGCTGCCCAGAGAATTTGTAGAGTCTCCATCTCTGGAGATGCCTGGACCTGCCTGGATACCACCCTGTGCCATGTGCTCTAGGTATCCCTGCTTGAGCAGGGGAGTTGGACTAGATGATCTCTAGAGGTCCCTTCCAACCTCAACCATTCTGTGATTCTGTGTTTTTCGGTGTATATTGATGCTCTCAGGGTAAAAGTTAAACACAAGTCAGTCTTTATGAAAGCAAAATATGTTGTAACTTATCTAAATATATTTCTTTATAATTTTAAATTCAAAATATTCAAGTTCTTGCTCACAATGACTATTTAGAGGGTGAGAGTTTTGTGAATCTATGAGATGTCAAAAAAAATTGACAACACTTAGCTAACTGGATTTTTCATTATTACAGCAGTAGAGAGTTCGTTATTTGCATAATCTCATAGCAGCTTTGAAACAATGCTCTGTTTTGTAAAGAGACTTTGTAAAATTGACTTGTCCTTTTTCATATGCCATACATTGGCACACTTTCTGAAGAAGTAGCAACTGTCCTCTGTAGGACAAGGACCTAGATGGGATAATTGGCCAGTATGCACAGAAAGAAGAAAAATGAATTCATCCTGGAAAAGGCATGAAATTTAGATTAAATCAATTGAAAAAAGAAAGTAAAGAGTTGCATTCATAATAAAATATTATCTCAAAAAAAAATACAAGCTAACTGAGTATATAAAGTGCATAAGATACATGTAAGACATTAAAAACTGAGAATAGATTTTTCATGTTTATGGCATATAGTAAATCTCCTTATTTACTTGGCTTTATGTTAGCTTTCTGTTTCTTTTCAATTCTTACAGGTGAACAAGGTGATGTCCATCTTGTTTTATGCGATATTTCTTGCTTATCTTCGTGGCATCCAATCAACAAACATGGATCAAAGAAATTTACCAGAAGATTCAATAAATTCTCTCATTATTAAACTCATTCAGGCAGACATTTTGAAAAACAAGCTTTCAAAGCAGATGGTAGATATTAAGGAAAATCATCATAACACATTGCAGAAAGCAGAGACTCAGCAGGACATCGATGGAGTTGAAAATGTGAAATCAGACTTCCAGCCAGTTGTTCCAGTGGATACTGACCTCTTAAGGCAGCAAAGACGTTACAATTCTCCCCGAGTCCTCTTGAGTCACAACACACCACTGGAGCCCCCACCACTGTATCTCATGGAGGATTATATTGGAAGTTCAGCGGTCATGAATAGAACCTTACGAAGTAAAAGGTATGCAGAGCACAAGAGCCACCGAGGGGAATATTCTGTTTGTGACAGTGAGAGCTTGTGGGTTACGGACAAATCCTCTGCTATCGACATTAGAGGACACCAGGTAACAGTTCTGGGAGAAATTAAAACAGGCAATTCCCCAGTTAAGCAATACTTTTATGAAACAAGGTGCAAAGAAGCCAAGCCTGTAAAAAATGGCTGCAGAGGCATCGATGATAAGCACTGGAACTCCCAATGCAAGACTTCCCAAACTTATGTTAGAGCACTGACTTCAGAAAACAATAAACTGGTAGGATGGAGATGGATCAGAATAGACACCTCCTGTGTGTGTGCATTATCAAGAAAAATAGGAAGAACATAAATCTGCATCTCTTGGCTATATAAATTATTACTTTAAATTATGATATGCATGTAGCATATAAATGTTTATATTGTTTTATATATTATAAGTTGACCTTATTTATTAAACTTCAGCAAATCAGTATATAAGCTTTCTCTCTCAATAAATAAGAATAAAGGGTATGTGCCTCTGCTGTGGGCAACTACAGTTTTATTAGGCTATGTTTGTAGCACTGCTTGTCAGCAGCATACCATAACGTTACTGTAAAATCTATGTAAAATCAGTATTTTTTCAGTAATGTCAAACCAGTGACTGACATTTAGTAAACTTGTTAAAAATCATATCAATGTCAAGACTTGTGTATATATTTTTAAACTCCACTCTACACATTCATGTCTAATTTGATGCAGTATCAATTCCTTACCTTCAAAACAAAAATGAGCCAAAATATGCGTTGTAGCCTGCCAGTGTTGCAGAAATCAAGTAGTCATAAAATACAGTTTCTGTATATTATGCCATTTTTGCCATTGAAATGACCATTTATCTCTCTGTTAGCTTTCCAGAATGACTGCTAATAATCCAGAACTTTATTTTTTATGGATTCCATTTGTTTTATAACTGTTTTGATTGCTGCCAGTTCCTCTTACAAATGATACAAAAAAGTTCTAAAATATTTGCAATAGAATCTGCCTGAAGCAAGAACCAATCTAAATGGAACATTAATATAATACATAAAAGATGATTTCTGCAAAGTATACTATTTTTTTATGATCAACCACTTCCTCCTTGCAGTAATCTATTACTTTCTGCTTGCCTTGTCACATCATTTCACTGTGAGCTTTCAAATTAGAAACAAAGCTAATGGCATCTTAACATTAAAGGAAACCTTGGCTTCAGAATTTTAATCAAGAAAGATATGATACTTTGGAGGGAATATCAAAGCCATACACGTGTGCAAAACTGTTCATCTCCTCAGTAAACCATTACCCAAATTTTCACAGAAGAAAATTGTGTAGAACTCTTTGACAGTCCTGGCACCTTTCTCAGGAAAATAAAATAATACAGCTTTCTGATCTGTATTGTGATTTAAATACAGTTAGTCCATAGTTATAATAATGATGTTCTTCAGTCATACAGGTGAGTTTTGACTTGAAACAGACATATGTACTAATGTGTATTTCAAATAATTTTTTAAAATGGCTTATAGCTGTACTTGAGACAGTTTAATTAAACTGCTCAAAGACATAGTCTGCTATACAATACCTGTATGCTCTGGATGAGATCTCAGTCCCATTATAGTTAATGAGTCTTTTCTCTCAAGAATCAACAGAATTAGATTAGACCACATGCCATCTACGTCTACCTAGATATTACCTCACAACCAGGGCTGGAAAGTGTCACCTGCTTGAAAATGATTGCAGCTGTCTTAGATTTCTAAGTTATGACTTCCTTTACGTAGTGTGTTTAACAAGCACAGTGAAAATAAGAGCAGAGTACCAAAAGACAAGGTGGTAGGACACCATTGTTCATATATTTTTTATTACTAGAGGAACAACTTAAAATCTGCAACGGGTCATCAGAGGCAGCAATTTGTGTGGTCTCATCTAATCCCTTACGGAGAGCATTACAACTTACAAAACTACTGGAGAAATGTACTAGGTTGTTAAGGAGGACACAAACTGGAATAGCAGAAATTTTGAAAGACAGAAATGGACCTTAGAGGTATTTGAAGGGGATTTGAAGGGGAGACCATTTCTATTTGAAGGGGAGACCATTTATAAAGGTTTTGAGAACCCTGGAATTTTCAAAATGAGGCCAAAGTATTTGCCTTACACAAAATGTCATCACCTTGAACAGCTGAATTCTAACCTTGCATCAATCACTAATACCTTTAGAGATTCAATATCATGGAAACTTTTAAAATGAAAGAGATGATGTTATATAACAAGCAACTCAGTATCCAATGAATCTGTAAGAATGTTTCTGCCATTCTCTTCTTTCTTAACAAACAGAAAAAAAATCCTTAGCAATTTTTAGCAATTTTGCCTTTTTCTTTCCTACTAGTTTTATTAATGGTGACGTTCATGTTTCAAAAATGAAAAAAAAAATAACCCATCTCATTCGTTTTTTTTACTTTGGGGGAGAACCATATTTTTAAAGGGAGCATTTTCACTGATTTTTTTTTAGTTAAAAAGCACATTTTGCACCCTGCATTCCCAAAGAAAGATAGTTTTTTTCAGATGCTATAAGCAATTGATAGCAGATGTTGTCATGGGTCATTAACTTTAGGGAACTCCAAAATTCAGTGTGCTAAATAGGTCCATGTCTATATGAAAAGGGAAAGTGAAAGTAAGAACACTAACTGAGCTTGTTTAGACAGTATTGTTTACTGATGGTAAATCGAATTAACTAGAGACTTAAGGGTTCCTAGAAGTGTGGATAGCACACTTGTTTACATCACAGTCAGTCCAGAGAAATTCTATGGAAGTCAGGGGAGAAAATGAGGTTTTATAATTGTAAATAACATTAGAGTCTTTTTAAATGCCTCTATTTGTGCTCACTGAAAATTAAGGGAAAATCATGCTATATACATTCAAAGAAAGCAATTTATCATATTTTATGTAGCAGGAACTGTACGTTAACTTTTAATTACATCACTGCATCAAATATTTTACAAAAGGCTTTTGAAAATGTAAATATAATACTGATCATATGAAACATATTAATTGAAAAATGATTCATAAAGTTATTATATTGTCTGCTTCTTTTCCACCACAGTATTGAACAAAAGTTTTACCTTTAAGATCTGATCCAAATTTTGCTAAAATGAATAGAAAATTTCTCACCAACTTCAGTGAAAACTAAATTGAGTCCCGAATAAATAAAAGCCTGCAGATCTCAACCAGAGAGCTGAGCTATTGCACACATCAGTTACGCATTCTTGTAAATCCTGTGTACACATAAGATGCTGTATAATTCTGTAACAAGTTTGTAAGTAAGCAAAGCTTGTAATAAATTTTTTAAGGTCTAATTTTGTTTTCAACGCAGCCAGGGATTTTTTATTGTCAACTTTGATGATGACACAATGAATTCAGAGTTTTTTGTCTAACCTCTTTGTATGTGTGTCAAGTATAATTAAGCAAAATATTCAGCTCACAATAGTAGTTTAATCTGAGTATTTTAAAACTCACCCCTATTAGGCAGCTCAGATGTTCTGTCAATAATGTTTTACCAGGAGATCATTATAAACACATATTTTATTTAGCTTTCCACCCAAACAACTAGATGCTATTCTGAAATTGCCTGTTTGTGTCAGACTATATTTTCTCTTTTCCATTTTTTTTTACAGTCTGTTTAGTAACAGTAAAAAAATGCTCCACTGAGATTTTGGGAAACCATCTGCATTTATTTTATCACCTTTGAACATGTGTTCAGGAATGAAGTCTGTGTAGCAAGTTTACTGCTACCAAGAGATTTGTGCTGCTGCACCAGGAAGAAACTTTGCCTGGACTTTACAGAGTTTGTACTCAAAACCACTCTGCTCATACTCAGTTATTTGAATGCTTTAGCAATCAGAGTCCTTACTCAACTATACATTGTGTATCTGCAGACAATACCAAACAGGAAGCAAGTCTGATTAGGAGTTTCAAAATTAAAGTTTAATGATAATGACGTGCTATTTTTGACCTTTCTGCAAATGAATTTGCACAGTGAAGTAAAAGGCATAACCATTCATTTTGGTTAATAGAAACATTGTGGAAGAATCAATGGGATTCTGTGTCCTCCACACTTGGTGCGCGTATGTAATTCATCATGCTGGGGGGGAGGGAGGGCATGGGAGGAGAAAGAGGAGAGGATAATAAGTACTACAGCTTGTAAGAAGTAAAGAGCTGTGCTCAATTTTAGCGCATTTTTAAAGTATAGAGGGCTTATTTTCCACAATGCTTTGCCTGCATTTTGTTACAGCAGATGGCAGAATGATGAAGCAAACACAGATGTGCTGCAAAAAAGTTAAGTAACATAAGGATAATGAAATCTTCCCTGAGAGTGTCTGCTGTTCACTACTGTTGTAGGTCCACAAAGTTGTTTTGTACAAGTTATTGAAGAATTCAGCAGTGACATTTCCCACTACATTATTTAACTAACTTCTATGGGAAAGAAAAAAAAAAGTTTTTTTTCTGAAAATTAAATTCATGAGCAGGACAACTTTCTGTATATGAATCGTTAACTTATGCAATGAAAGTTCCAAAATGCAGACCTTCTCCTTTGTTATACTGCTGAGTTTTGAAGCCAGCAGCAGCTGAAAGCCATACTTTCACTACAGGTTTGCCTTTGATGTCATGACTTCATGTTTCTAGACACTTTTATCACAGGTGAGATCATAAAGCCATAAGGCGGTTTCTCTAAATCACGCCTGAGAGTCTGCATTGTGCACAGCAGTCATTCAACAAAAAGACAGTGAAAGTGAGTGACAACTACATCATCTTTACATACATTTTCCCGCATCTTCTACTTTGTTTTCATATTGAGCTGAGAGGTACACAGTCATAATCCAGTTACTTTCTGCATACTGGAGGACTGGGATGCAGAGCAAGACAGACTTTCAGCTGATGCATCATGAGTGCTTCTCAGTTCACAGCTTCTGATTGCCCCAAAATGGGCATCAGATTATAAGGAAGATTAGCGTATTTGAGCTACAAGAGAGATGGGTCCAGAGACTGAAGAGCAGAGTATGCAGAGTATGTTCCCAGTTCTGTTATGGACTTCTTATCTGATTCTAAATAAGCCTTTTACTCCAGTGCATTCTCTCAGATTATGATAGTCCGGACATAGAAATATAATGCTTGACTTCAAAAGTGATGGTTATCCATCTCTTTTAATATAATTAGAGAAAAAATGGCAACACACTGCAGACCCTTACACCCATCTGTGAAAGGACACTGTAATCTGAACATATCAGTTGCACTTTGTATGAAACAGAGGATATTGTTACTATTTACCGGTGTCACAAGAAAGAGAGGGGATACTTGATAAACCAACTCTATTATTTGTAAATTGTATTAAGATG